AGCGTCGCTGGCGAGTATCACAGCACGGAAAATGTGCCCGAGCAGCAGACGCCAGCCCGAAAAAGAGGATTGCACAGCCGATGACGCCCCAGAGCGCTCCTGCCGCCATGAACCCCCGTACCAGCGGCATCGCCTACGGCCAGTCGCAGCAGACGGACGCCCAGCCCGATGTGTATACGCCTACGCACAGGCGCAAGCAATCGACGTGCTCCATGGCGTCTGACCAGGACAGTCTGTACGGCGAGACAACGCCCGAGCAAGACGCTATCATGCCTGCAGGCTTGTCGAGCCCCGACCGCCGGGAAAGCCAGACGTCAATTGGTGCCATGATTGCCGAGACTTCACAGCAGAAGCCCCAGCAGCACATGCGCAGCGTGTCGATTCCGTCCATGACGAGCTCCGTGTCATCGGCTCTGTCAACACTCTACAGCGAGGAGGAAGACGACGAGACACAGACAGGCGAGAAGATCCCTTGGGCGCACCCTGTTGATCCCAACCAACAACGTGGCAGCTTCAAGCCTAGGCGGATTCAGCACTCACCAAAGATGAGCGACCCGTTCCTCGTCCCGACACCGGCGCCCCAAGTGCCAGAGAGGTCGCCGCGTCGTCTTTCAGCCAGCGGCGAGGCCCAGCGACCGCAGATGCTTGAAACCCGGTCCTACCAAGACCATAGCCGGGCTCTGGGCCAGATTTCAGGAAACCGCCGCGCGAGTAATAGCTCGCTCATCATGGCGCCTCTCAACGCGGCCCAGGATGGTCAGCTGTCGAACAGAGACGAGCTCCGCCTTTCCATCATGATGGAGCCATCTGCTCAGAAGCAGGGCCAGTCGTCGGTTCGCCCCAAGAGCGTCGTCACCATGAAGCCCAAGTTCTTCGCCACGAGCAACAGCGCCACGAGCATGATGGCCAGCCCCTCCACCCCCGAAGAGGACCGCAAGGGCCACCGCCGCCGTCGCTCTGTTGTCATGCCGCCACCCCTGAACCTGCGCCCTATCCAGGGTTCGCCCCACGAGCAAGATGCCGCGGAAGCCGATGACCTTGAGCTCCCGACTCGCAACCTCCATACCCGCCGCTCCATCATCGCTGCCGGCGGGATCCCCACCGAGATTCCCTCCAGCCCTGTAGTCGCCCGCCCCTTGCCGGACCCTACCCTCCTTTCCAAGACCCCCTCTCCCACTCGCCGCCGCTCCCAGTCCACGACGCCGTCGCGCGGCCCCTCCAATGCCTCTTCAACTTACTCCAACCCTGGCCCTGCCATGACCCCTACTCTCATCCTCCGCCCTCAAAACTCCATCAACCGCGGCTCCCCCACCCACATTTCTCCCCTCGGCGCCTCGATCGTGCAGCTTCGACGCATGAACTCCCAAATGAGCGCCTACAGCGTCGCCTCGTCCGCTGCCACCGCTGCTGACGACGTGGCCGATCTCCGCGGTGGGGGTTTCAGCCCAGAGCGCAGCAATTCACGCGCCGGTCGTGCGGGACGTCAGAACTACCTGTCCATGGGTACGCCAAGCCCCAAGTCCCGCAACGGCATCCGCTCGACCCGCAACTCCGTCAAGGGGCGACCGGCATCTGTCGTTCCCAAGATGGATTCCCTCGAGGAGAAGGAAAATGGCGAATCGACGGTGCCTGTTCTGACGAGGGGCGGCCTCAAGGGAAGCCTCCGCACGGCAGAGAGCCCGAAGCGCAGGCTGAGCGTCCGCTTTGCCGAAGTTCAGGAGCCGATTTTTGTGGATGCGCTCGAGATGCCGGAAGCCGATGTTGAAGAGGCCAGCCGCGGACGGGAAAGGACCAGGACGCCGACAAGAAATCGCGCCAGCGCGGATAGCCTGGGCTTGTACGACAAGGATGGCTTCCTGATGAGCTCGCCCGAGAGGTTTCCATCGTCAGTGGCCGAGGGGCGACAGGGAGGCGCCCTCAGGATCTAAATGTTCCAAGTTCTCCTTGTTCATGGTGTTGATCTGCGAACATATTCGTACCTACAGGGGATGAGTGCCCCTTTCCTTGTATGTATTGGATTGCGGAAAACTTTCTTAATACCTGCCTGGGTTAGCATCTCTGGATGACAGGCTGTCTTTTTTTTTGTGTCTTATCACATAGTACAGCGATACCAGAGATAGGAAGCTGAGAATAGAAGGTTTCATACCTACTCTTGGTTGGTTCTCTTACACACGATTGTGTTTTGCAGGCGGCGTCACTGTGGGCCGATATCCAGATGAGGTCGTTTTTTTGTTGTGCTTTCTCCGCTCGCCCTAGGATGGCGGAGCCTCTTCGACCCTTGGTCTCTTGTTATCCAAATCCTCCTCGCCACCTTCATGCCCATTCACCTCGTCCAATGCCCTCACCCTCCCAGCACCTTCTCCCAGCTCACCACTAACACCCTCCTCAGCAACTTCGCCAATCCAGTTCCCGTCAGCATCGAAGTATTCGTTGACGTTCTCGGCTGTGATCCATCCCGAGCTTCCTGGGAAAGGAGGAGGTAGCCCTCCGTTCGCGTTTCCTCTCAGAACACCAGAGAACCCTTCGAGGGCTTCATGCTCGCCCTCAAACACGATTCGATCCTCTTCTTCGTCGTCGTCGTCCTCCACAGGGTCGGGGTGCAGATCTGAGCAAGCGGAGATGGCAGTGTAGAGCTGCTGCACGCTCGAACCGACGGGCGGCACGATTGTCAGATCGACGGAGCTGCCTTCGTCATCGGCATTGTCGGTCAGTTCAAGTTGCATCCAGATGGCATGCAGGGGCGTGCCGTCGGCCAGTGTGCCAGCCTGCTTGACAGCGTGGATCGAGATGGCGGGATAGGGAATGGAGACACCAGCGGTGGCGGTCGCGCTGTAGACAGTGAAGTTCCTTGATGGCATAACGGTCAGCAGTCAGGGACGCCAAAAGGGGAGAGCGATGGCAGGAGAAGCGCACTCTGAGTTGACGAAAAGGTCAATGGTCTGCTCCGTCAAGTCATCAGTGGTGCCTGTGAGCGTGGCACTCTCGGGTGCAGAGACCGCGGCAGAGGCATCGGTGAAGATGGGCAGGGCGGCTGAATGCGACTTGGGAATCCAGATCTTGGCACCTTGCAGATGATGGTGCAGAACAGGCTTGCCGCCAAAGAAGGTCTCCGGGGTTTGGGACTCGTACTCCTCGAGCGGAAGGAAGTCTCCGACCGAAGGCGGGGATCGAATGGTAGTGGTCAACATACTGACGATCTGGGAAAGTTGTTGCAGAATATTCGGCTTGGCTCCGTCAGACAAAGACGATGATGGAGGGGAGAAGGCCGGCATGATGGTGGGGTGTCGACAGCGCTGGGGGCAGAAAGACGCAGATCCCTGGAAGCTCTTATCCCCCTTATCGACACGTGAACGTGGTGTTATTGGCGGGATGCCGTGGATGGTGGCTGGGGAAGGTGCGATGGAGTGATGGCTAGTGCGGGGTTGGACCCTGACAGCTCCTTCCCTTAACCCCCAGTGTCACTGCCTGTCGTGCTGCCCTGTACCTGCCTCTGGCTGCGGCTGCGACTGCTGACGTAACTGCCTGTTCCTGTTGACTTCACGCCGCCTCGCGACGCGGCGGCTTTCGACCCCAACAACTCGTCGCAAAGCATCTACAGACACTGGTGGCTGTCCCACACTCCAATCACCAACCTCCAGTCAAAGCAGAGGCTACAACCTCCATCGCAGCCATGTATAACAACCGTACGACACCCTTGCTTCCCCCCACCCTCCTTGTCACTGCTAACACCCTTCCAACAGGCTCCCACCTCCTCGACCAAGTCCCCCTCACAGTCTCCCCCTTCGTCTCCATCCCAACGGCAACAACGCTTTCATACAACTACAAGGCCATGCCCTCGGCGCTCCCGCCCTCGATCCTCGGCAACCCATCCGCGACCCAAGCGCCGCCAACAGAAGACGGCACCTCGACACCCCAGCAGCCGGCCCCGAAACCGCAGTACATCATCTCCCAGTCCGGCCACGCCGCGCACCCCGACGACATCATCGCCTCGTGTCGTGCGTTGCAGGCTCACATAACGCGCATGCAGGAGGACGCCGAGCGCGAGCTGCGCGAGTTCGAGGAGAGGGTCCGCGCGCGGGACCTCGCCGAGAAGCGCAAGGTCGCGCCCGGCTGGCTCGACAGCGAGGCCAGGATACTGGAGCCCGAGCGAAAGGGCGACGCCGCCGGTGACGGCCAGCCGAGGGGCGGCGAGGTCGACATGCTGTCGGGGGACGCCAATGGCGGACAGGGGCCGAGCGAGATGGGCACCGACCAGGGGGCCGAGCTGGATCGGTACTTTGGGGGTCTTAGCATGAAATGAGGGTTGGTTCTTGGGTTCACCTGGAGAGTGGCAGTTTGGGGCATTTTTTCTTCTTTCTTTGGAGTCTCGTGGGTTTCAGAAAGGCGTTGTGGCTCTCGTGGAATTGACTTCGTTGACCGTGCCCGTTGATGGGCCGGCAAATCGGGATAGCGAGCACGTAGGTCGGGCAACATGCTGACACAGTTGGCCAGACTACAAATCCTCAATGGCATACTATCTTGCCAGTCTATCCAGGATGGCCGCCTTGGATGCACCGTGCAGACTTGGCTCTTTTATGCTCCATGTCTCAGGTGAATTGCAGTGCATTGTACATGGTATTGGCCTATCTACCTAACCGCTCATATACACAGGCACCTCCTGCTTGTAGTAGTTCGTATGTATCGCCGTCATGTTGCCCACATGGTCCCTACGGCCTCTCGTCCGCCTCTCGGCGCGCTTCGCCCCGTCCAACGCGTTCTTGCGCGCCACGAGCAGCGACCGCTGCTGACCCAGCGGCAGATGCACAAGGCTCATCCGATCCGCCGCACGCAGCTGCGCCATCCCCGCCGTGAGCGCCTGCTCCTTCCGATCGCGCCTCGCCAGCGCCCGGACCGGCTCCGCGCCGTCCTGTCCCGCTGAAGGGGGTTCCGCGGCCAATGGCGCCGCGTCCAGCAGAGAAAGCTGCGCACCGGCGCCGTCGTCCCGCAGGCGTGTCCTCGCCGTCGCCGGTTCCGCCGCCCGCGCGCGATGCGCGAGGAGCTTCCCCGACGGCAGCCGCAGCGTGTGCGCGTCGGGACGGACGTCAAGGGCCAACGCGGGACGGTGCAGCGAGTCGAGGTCGTAGAGCTCGCTCATCTCCGCGGTGACGGTGAACCGGCAGTGGCCCGCCGCGCGCATGTGCTGCTGCACGGCCTCGACGGTCCGGCGGCGGGTCCCGCAGCAGATGCACTCGCGGTAGCTGAAGATGGTCATGTGGAGGAACCACACTAGCGTCTGGAGGTCCACTGCTAGGGAGGACTGGAATGGGATGGCCAGGCTGTGGGCTTGGTGCATGTGTGACAGGCTGGTTTCGAAGTCGCGGCTGGTCTCGTGACAGAAGAGGCAGGTGCTCGGGATGAACTTGACGATGTTGGTTTCCGCCTCTGATGGGCTGTCCTCAGCATCATCGTCGTCGGCATTGTCGGCGTCGTCATGAGCAGCCTCTTGGTCTTGTATCTCAGCATGAGCAGATGCTCCAGGAATTGGTGCGGCGCGCTCTCGTTGCCCCCGCCTCGTCGAAGGCCGGTCTACACCCTCTGGTGGTGCCATGACCGTCCCTTGGTCCCGCCACGCGACATCGAATTTTGTAGATGCTACTCGATGGTCAGCTGCAGCGCTCATTCAAGGTAACTATAAAAAAAATCCATCTTAAGGTC